CAAATAGATCTTATATATATATATATATATATATATATTGTATATTGTATACGTATATATTTTAACCTTGAACACCATATTAATTTCTGATGCCTCTTTTTTCTCTAGTCAAAACATAAAAGTAGTAGGGTCTTGAACTAATAACATTTTCATTATTACATTTTTTTAATTATTTTTTTACGATGATAAACATATTTTTTTAAACAAAAATTTTATTTCAAAGGAAATTGGTTTATACAAGTTTTGTGAGAATAGGTCTTACCATTTATCAAAGTAAGAGTTTTCTTTTTAAAATATCAAAGCAAAAAAAAATGTATGATAAAATGTCATCAAAACATTACTTTTGCAAAAATAACAGACAGAACTTCAATTATCAGATCAAATATAATGACATTACCAAAAAAAAAAAGTAAAATAAAGACCATTATAACAAGAGTCAAAGCATTATATTAAAGTATTAGATCATCAGAACAAATATTGATATTTTTAAGTTATTCATATCATATAAAATATTTGAGTTGAGAATACTTACTTGAGCATATATACCGTAAAGAAGGTGCTAAGTTAAATATTAGATCCATGGTAACTTTAGTTATTCAAATTAAACATGATAAAGAAAGAAAAAAATAAAGAATAAAATCTCCTCCCTTAAAGATAATATATATCATTTTCATCTAAAAGTCTTCAAAAACATCAAGATATCTTCATCCTCCTTAATTAAGATCATCGGTCGGGTTCGGATTCAAGTCAATCAATCTAACCAAACTGATCATAATAAAACCTAGTCCATTTCTTATCGATTTTAGCTTTTGGTTTAATTGGTCTCGAGTAGTCGGTTTTTGGATTTTACAGTTGGTTTGAATCGGGTTAAGCTATATTGAGCCTAATAATTATTTTCCTATGTTTTTCAAACTTTTTATCAGTTGTTCAAAATTTATATAAAAAAAATTATTATATTGAGTCATATTGAGCTAACAGTTTTTTTTTCAGCACAATTTTTTTTACTTATTACTAATTTTTAATGTTATAAATCACATTTACATGTTTTTAATTATAATTATTGTTATTCATTTAGCCTCAATTAACTTAAGAGGGGTGAATTAAGTTTTCTAAATTTTCCTCTTATAAAAACTTTTCCGAATTACTTTCTTTTCAATTTATTTTCTTAGACAAATTTGTATGTAAAGAATGATGATGTAAAACAACTCAAACACAATTAAATAACAAATAAATAAAAGTGTCGAGGAGTATTGCATCATATGTTATTGTACATAGTGTTTTTTATTTAATTTAATGATTTATTGTAGGCATTGAGTCTGATTAATTGAATAACAAATTCATCTTACATAAATTTTTCTTGTTTCATATCTTGTTTTGTAACTCAACATTAGCAGCGAGGAGTATTGCATCATATGTTATTGTACATAGTGTTTTTTATTTAATTTAATGATTTATTGTAGGCATTGAGTCTGATTAATTGAATAACAAATTCATCATCGAATTATACAACTTAATTATAATGGGATGATATGAAAGTCATCCAATCTAATATGTAAACATGTAATTTAATTAAATTGGATAGTTTGAAATCCGTGTACACTCTTATATAACACTTTCAATTATCTGTGTGAATGTAAGCTACCGGAAATTAAATTGAGAAAGTGTTACTGTTGTGCAAGGTTTGGTTCCTCATTCATGTGTGTCATTTGTTTGTATGGTTTTTGCGTAAATTAAGCTTATAGTGAACGTTGAATGACGCAGTTTATCCTATTTGAATTGCTCCACCGATGCCGTCCAATTAAAGTTGAATATGGAAGTACTCGAATATAATTTTTTGAATTAAATATATTTTTAATCCATAAATTTTTGTCAATTTCTTAGTCTAAATAAATTTTATTTGACTTTAATCCCTTGTCAATTACTGCATAATTTATTTATTTATTTTATATCCAAATGAAATTAAACATCTCAGTCATTGTCATTTATCAGCAAACTTATTCAAACAAAAATAATCGTATTATTTAAATAATATAATTTTCACTGCTTTCCCTAACACCCTAACAAGCAGGAAATGGAAGGATTTATTCCATTGAACCTTAAACTCGGCACCAAAAATTAGAATCCCGAAATCAACGATAAAAAGCCGAAGATGTGCCTCATAAAGATACTTGGCATTAAAAAGGATGAGTTAGTAGATATATACACATGTGACAGCTGATATTTACCACCACCTATGGCCTCCATTCTATAAGACCAACTTAAATACCAACTAATTCTCCAAAATTGGATTAAAGAATGAAAAACAATGTTAGAAGAAACCTATAAATCCCAATTTGGGCTTTCTATATCCTTTCAAGTTTCCTTCTAAACCATTCTGATATTCTCTTGATGTTGCTCAACAGCTGACCATTTTTTGTGATTGTAAAGAAGTCTTCGGCATTTGCTAACATTACCAGTATATCATGCTTGACACCTTCCACACTTCGATAGTAGTCATTCCAGTTAAGATCACGTATTTAAACTGTCGCTTTCTCTTTTTTACTTTTTGTGTACTTGATTTCAAGGCACGGAAATTGCCGGAACAGGCCTGCCTGCATAAAAATACCACTGGCATACCAGTGCTCTGTGCCTTTCTACACAGAAACTTTTAGTACCTGTTTGAAAACTCTAATTTCTCAGCTACGTGTTTCAGTGCTTGGATATCAAACTTCTCCTGAATTGAAGGAAAAAACAATGAGAAACGTTACATCAACCCCCTTTAAAACAATTAGAACTTTGCAACTTGTATCAACAAGACTAGTTCAGTGAAAAAACAGGTAGGTTAAGAGAAATAAAACTTCACATCAAGTTACCCTGTGGTCTAATTTAGTGAAATAGGACAGCAGCTTATCTCTGATTTCATGATCAATGTGGGGATGCTCCAATAGAATCTCGGGATCACATAGTTCCCACGGACTATGCATATGATTCTCTGATGGATCAATCTTGTACTGGATAAGATACCTTTCCCAGGGACTGTCAGGGAAGTCATGAGATTTGGCCTGAACTGAAATAATTCGACCATCCCACCAATTTCCACCTTTCCCATCTTCATTTCTCCACCAGACCATGCATTTATCTCTTGAAGACCAATTTCTCTTCATGGCAGTATCATACCATGTTTTCTCAACAACAAAATCAGGGAAGTTAATCAATTCAGGTAGAGTTAATTTAAATGATTTTCCATACATATTTGAAGAAGGGTCCACAAATCTAAGTTTAAGCTTACAACAGCTATCCCCAGAGCCTGGGAGCTCCGCATACTCTAGCTCTTCAACCTTGCAAATTTCACAAGCACTTAGTCCTGTGAATAATCTCCATGGACCTGATTCAGATGACGAACATGACTCCATGTATTCTTGATGGCCCTGGCAATAAAATATGCTCAAGAAAATGAATAGGGAAACAGATTACAGAACCAATCAAATAAGGTTAAGAACATAAAATAGGAAACAGGTTGGGGAAACTTGCATTCCAAAAAAAAACTACTAAGTATTACAATTTACAAACCATAAGGGGAAAAAGTCAAGACATAAACTACCTGTCTCAGGTACACAACTTCATCACCAAGTTGAGGAATATACCGGTAACCCCCTTCAATCTCAGAGAGCATCAGCCATGACAATTTTTTGACATGGTGATTTGACATCCTTCGGGTTAAAGTACCAGGGTCATTGGCAAAATATTCACCACGCCTGCTTCTGGTAGTCCTTGTTCTTCGATGGAGTTGATCAGACACTTTGATAGAAGTGTCTTCCAGATCAGATTTGCCCCTGGAACTTTGGACCCCGCGAATTTTAATCCTTCTGTTTGAAGTGCTGGGCTCCTCAGAAGTTGTCTTCATCCTTATAGATCGTGTTCGACGAATAGGATCACTTATAACATCAGCCAAACCATTTCCTAAATCATGTTGGTTGCTGAAAACTGAAGTATGTTCTTCCATATCACAATCAAAACCATCTTGATTGACTTTCCCTTTATATGATTTGCCCCTTTTATGGACGTGATCATAACTTCCCTTGTCAGAATATGGATGCAGTAGCTGTGGAGAACTAAATTTTCTGTCATCTTCACCTTCAGGTGCTTCTGTTACAAGATTAGGCCCCATTAAAGAGGAATTCTCAGAGATAACAATACCTCTAGCACCAGTTTGTTAGGCAACTGGCATTAAAAGAGAGAATAAAAGGATAGAAGAGAGAAATAAACAATACTAAGAGTATTTGTTTTTGGTGTGTCTTCTATCCTTTTATTCTCTCTTTTAATGCCAGTTGCCTAACAACTGGTATCAGAGCTCT